TTTCATAATCATCATTATATCCATTTTTAATCATGAGTTAATCATACCAATCAGTAGGTTAATCATTCATAATTGGCCACAATAATAGTTCATCATAATAATCATTTAACATAACATTTAATAACAATTAGCGGCCTAGTCTCGAGTGTTAACACCCGAACTTACCGTCATGCATCACATAATGTTTTAATTTGTTAAAAACATCATTTTTGTTATGAAAAATCATTTTTATAATAATCATAATCAATTGGTATCAAAAATAGGATTTTAAAGCTCAAAAATAGCAATTTCAGACAAAATTTCGGACCAGAGTTTCGGAAGATCGATCCAGCCCTCTGGATCGATCCAACTAGAAGAAAAACTCCCAGAGGATCGATCCAATGAAGGGGATCGATCCACTCTGTGGATTTTCAGGCACTGTTCATTCGTCTTCAACCTCGGTCCATTTTTCGGGAAAACCATTTTTAGTCACCGAACTTCAATTAAACTATATAGAGATGTTCTCCAAGGTTCATAGATCATATTAGAATTATTAAAACATATTTTTAACATCAAATTCAAGGTTTATGGTTCTTGGTTCTTCAAACATGTCAAACACAAAACTCAACCAAATGACCATTTATGAACGTAGAAACGACTTATATGAACATTCTAGTCATTAGATATATCTACGGGCTTATCTCGAAGCTTATTGAAGGTTTTGGAAATTTTCCGGCGAAACTTCCGGCGACTCTATCTTACTGCTCCGGCGACCTCACACAAAGATGACAGCACCACTGCGTTCTACACACTCAAAGCTAACTCTCAGAAGCAATTTGGAAAGAAATGGTGAAGAATTGGGTAGGAAGAGGTGGGCCTTATATAGTCTTGGTGAAGAGGAAGCAGAAACAGTGATGACATCCTTTCGACTGTTTCGGCGGCTGAGTGGAGTGGACTGCTACCTTCTCCGATTCTAAACGTAAGTCCCTGATTGGGACTAATTTGGTCCCAGTCGGGGAACACTTTTTGGTCCAACTTTCTCCGAATTGAAATCCGATTGAACCTTTGGAATCAGACAGTCAAACTCTACATAATGATATGATTTTCATTATTTATTGACAAACCTTAGAATTTACTTATTTTTGGGTCCTTTTCAGTAATTAATTAATTATAAATTAATTAACTCTGATAGGCTAAAACTTTCCTTGTTTGGAAGTCAACAGCCAAAACAGCGATGTAGGGAATTTAGACATCGCTGTTGGCAGAACCGTTGCTTCCCATTTTTCAAAACGCAAGCCTAGAACAACGATGTCCAGGCCTAGGACAGCGCTGTCTGGGTGAATTTCAGCAGATCCAAATTTTATCAAATCCCACAAATTGTGCCAATCACCCCTTAAATACTTTGGTCCGTTGGAGCCTATTTTTCTACTATAAAATGGGGTGTTTGGGTCTGTTTTATAACATCACATTACTTCACAACTCCTACTCTTTCATTGCAAATCATTCTTCAATTATTCATAGATTTTGAGAGCCATTTTTTTGTGAAGCTTGTGTTGTGTTCTTGCGCATTCTTAGTTTACTCATTATCCACTCTAAAAGAGAGTATTGTTCTTGAGTGTTTTAGTGTTCTTAAACACTTGACAAGAGAAGGTGTTTCTCTTGTTGCGGTTCGTGTGACTCGAATTCTCAAGTTGTACGGGTTTGTTAAGCACCGTTAAGCTTAACGAGATAGTAGTGTACCTCGAGAGAGTCTCTCGGGAGGCTGGATTAGCCACAAGTTGTGGTGAACCAGGGTAAAATCGGTGTGCCTCTTACTAAGTCTTTACTTCTCATTTATTCATTTTTTTTCCTGCGATTTTTGATCAAACGCTATTCACCCCCCCCCCTCTAGCGTCAGTCTCTTATTCTAACAATTGGTATCGGAGCCTAACTCGCGTCCAAACTTAACCGTTTGAGAGTAAAGCGATCATGGGCTCTTCTTCTAGAAATCTCTATGCAGGAATTGGAGAAGGTCAATAACCTTCTAGGCCACCACTCTTTGATGGCACCAACTACTCTTATTGGAAGGAACGGATGAGAATCTACATTCGTTCCACTAACTTCCAATTGTGGTTGGTGATCAAAAATGGCGAGGAAATCCCTATGAAGAAAGTGGGAGAAACCACGGTCCCAAAGACCGAAAACGAATTTGATGCCGAGGACATCAAGAAGATTGAAAACTATGCAAAGGCCATCAATATGCTATATTGCGCGGTCAACCCCGATGACTACCGAAAGATCTCCTGTTGCACAACCGCCAAGGAGTTGTGGGACAAGCTTGAGGTGACGTACGAAGGTACCGATCAAGTTCGCGAAGCCAAGATCGACTTTCTCACCCAAGAATACGAAATGTTCCGGATGAATGAAGGTGAGAAAATTGATGACATGTCCGACCGGTTCTCAAAGATCATCAACGATCTTCATGCTCTCAAAAAGACTTACACCAACAAGGATCTCGTGAGGAAAATCCTGCGAAGCCTCACACCCGAATGGAGGTCAAAAGCCGATGCAATCTATGAATCCATTGGAGTCTCCAACGTCACCATCGACGGGCTAAGAGATAACTTTAAAACTTATGAATCTACTATTCTAACCCCGTCTTTGGATGAACAAAAGAAAAAGGGGATAGCTCTCAAAGCCACCAAGGAACCGGTGGAAGAGGCTTCAAGCGATGACGACAATGAATTTGGGCTCGTCATCAAGAAGTTCCACAAGTTCATGAAGAAGGAATTTGAGCGGAAGGGAAGGAAGCACGACGGTCCTCCCAAGTGCTACGGCTGTGGCGAGATTGGCCACATCAAGCCAAGGTGTCCAAAGGCCAAACACGGCAAGGATAAGCCTGGCTTCAAGAAGCAAAGGGCCTACATCTCTTGGGGTGGCGATTCCGGCGACGAATCAACCGACCAAGAGGAGGACGAAGATGCAAATCTCTGCCTCATGGCGCACGAAGATCAAAGCGATGACGTCCAAGAGGTATGTAACATTTCTTCCGACTCTTATACTTTTGAAGAAATGCAAGAAGCACTTCATGAACTTTATGAAGAATTTGTTAGCGCCTCTAAAACAAATAAATCTTTGAAGAAACGTCTTTCTACACTTGAAAAGGATTCTTAAAAATTGGAAAAAGAAAATGAAATACTTAAACAAGAAAACAATTTTTTTGGAAAAAGAAGCGCTGACAAACCAGAAAGCTCATCGAGTGAATGTGGGTCTTGCAAAACTTTAAAAGAGCAAATCGCTAAACTTGAGAGCACGGTCAAGAAATTTAATACTCCTCACAAAGACTTAAATTTACTTCTTGACACTATGCATTTTTCTAAAGAAGGAATAGGTTTTGATAAAAATAAAGCAAAAGTCAGTGTTGAGCCACCACCTAGACAATCATCTAAAGTTCAACATAAGAAACCTAAAAATCAAGATAATAGAAAACATAGTCAACCTAAGGACACTAGACAATCTAGACTAAAACCTAGGAATGAAAACGGTCATGGTAGACAACCCATGAAAAATGATTTTGTGCATAAAAATGAATTTTCTCATATAAGAAGAAATAATGCTAGAACACCTAGAAGAGGCCAGTTTCAAAATTTCCAAAAACCATCATTTTCACAAAATAGGAACAAAATGGTTAAACCTTCTATGTATTATGAACCTAGGCACATGTATAACCCCAACGTAGTTTGCCATTACTGTAATAGGATAGGCCATATTGCTCCCGTTTGTTACACTAGGCATAGGCACCTATCACAAAATCAAGCACACTACCATCACACACCTAACACCCGAGGACCCAACGTAAATTGGGTACCTAAAACTCATTGATGTGTTTCATAAGTGTGCTTGAAGGCATCAAGTGTACTTTGGTACCTTGATAGCGGATGCTCCAAGCACATGACCGGGGATGCACCTAACACTCAAGGACCCAAAAAGACTTGGGTACCTAAATCTTATTAAATCATTTTTGTAGGTGTGCTTGAAGGCGTCAAGTGTACTTTGGTACCTTGATAGCGGATGCTCCAAGCACATGACTGGAGATGCATCCAAGTTCCTACAAATCAAACCCGCTAAAGGAGGAAACGTAGTCTTTGGAGATAATAGCAAAGGAAAAATTATCGGCGTCGGTTCAGTAGGTAAGTCCGAAGACTCCTCTATAGATAATGTCTTGCTTGTTAAAGGTCTTAAACACAATCTCTTGAGCATAAGTCAATTATATGACAAGGGAAACCGTGTGACCTTCGATTCAAAATCATGCACCGTAGAACGCCTTAGTGACAATAAGGTCATTCTACGTGGTGATAGAATCGATAACATATATATGGTTAACTTAGACAAATCTCCTTCCGGCTTTGCGAAGTGCCTCATGAGTAAAGAGGAAGACACTTGGTTATGGCACCGAAGGGTAGCTCATATGAACATGAACCTTTTGAACAAATTGGTTTCACAAGACTTAGTAATTGGCATTCCAAAACTTAAGTTTGAAAAAGACACCATATGTGATGCATGTCAAAAGGGGAAGCAAGTTCGGGATTCGTTTAAGTCTAAGAACGTTGTTTCAACGTCTAGACCGCTTCAACTTTTGCACATGGATCTCTTTGGTCCTTCTAGAACGAAAAGTTTTGGTGGTAATTACTTTGCGTTTGTGATTGTCGATAACTACTCTAGGTTTACAGGGACCTTGTTTCTAACTCACAAAAGTGAGGCATTTCACGTTTTCAAAAATTTTCTAAAGAAAGTTCAAAATGAAAAAGAAACAACCATAGTAGCCATAAGAAGCGATCATGGGGGAGAGTTCGAACAAAATCTATTCTCAGATTTCTGTGACGAACTTGGCATTAATCATAATTTCTCAGCCCCACGTACACCACAACAAAATGGAGTGGTGGAACGTAAAAATAGATGTCTCGAAGAGATGTCTAGAACTATGATCAATGAGGCAAAAATCCCTAAGTATTTTTGGGCGGATGCCGTGAGTACCGCGAGCTACGTGTTAAACTGAGCCGTCATTCGACCGATACTCATGAAAACCCCTTATGAACTATACAAAGGGAGAAAGACAAACCTTTCCTATCTTCGAGTCTTCGGCTGCAAATGTTTTATTCAGAACAATGGCAAAGACAACTTAGGCAAATTTGATGCCAAGTCGGATGAAGGAATTTTTCTGGGTTATTCACTTCGTAGCAAGGCCTATAGAGTCTTTAATAAACGAACCTTGACCATTGAGGAGTCCCCTCACGTTGTATTTTCCGAAGATAATCCTCGCTTGGCGAGAAAGGATATTTGTGATGATCTTGCAGATTCATTAGAGAGAATACACGTCGAAGACGATGAAGAGAACACGGGAATATACACCAACACGCAGCCGCAAATTGGGGAGATACCTCAAGCGACTAACCAAGGTGAAGAAGAAAATCAAGAGGAAGAAGAAGAACAAGAGGAACACGAAGAAGAAGCAACCGAGCTTCCCATTGCATGGAGAACGAACAAGAACCATCCGCTTGACCAGGTAATCGGTAGCATCAACCGCGGGGTAAGTACTCGTAACTCACTTAGGGACACCGTAGGACACATGGCTTTTGTTTCTCAAACTGAACCTACAACCATTTCCGAAGCAATAAACGATGAACATTGGACCTTGGCCATGCAAGAGGAGCTAAACCAATTCAAA